ATTCATTCATTCATTCATTCATTCATTCATTCATTCATTCATTCATTCATCACACAGACATTGGCCAAACACCTACTCTGAGTAAAAAGATTCGCTATGAAGATGTGCAGAAATATATTTTTAAAAACCCTAAAATATTTTAGTCTTTAGTCTTACAAGTTTGTCCTCTTACATAGGTAGAGTATGTGCCTGTCCCAGAGTGAGGACATTTGCTTCCACAGAAGATAACTTAATCCGCTCTCACAGCCTCACCTCTAACGTAGAGTTACAAAGCAATAACATTTATGACATGTAATATATTACCATGTGTTCTCTCCTTTCATTTCATCGCCACTAAATCCACTTCACAGCCTCCCTATGCTTTGCAAACAGTGCTGTGGGAGAGATGGCCACAGTGACAAAGGAGATAAAGCCAGTTCCCAGCTCTGTGGAGAGTGACAAAGGGCCTGAGCTGCCTCCTCTTCACGGGTAGCATCACATGGAACAGAGGTCTGCCTCCCAGGCCAGGATGGAGACAAAGGGACTATTCTCTCTCTCCTTCTATAGACACCCCATGCTAGATCTCACTGAATGGCACTCAACACAAGATGCCCGAGTTCATGGCAGCACACCTTGTCTGTGGCAGGGCCTCCCTCTGACGTGTCTCCTACTAACAAAGCCAGAAGCCACTATCTCATTCTAGGTCAGACCTGGGCTGCCTTTTCAATCATCTCTCCTCAGCTGCCATTCTTGCTGTGGTGTCCAGAGCAGCCTCCCATCCTGTGGGTGACAGTACCCTACTGATAATGGTACTTACTGAATGCTTCCCCAGCGCCATGGACATCCCTTGAGAGAGCCGCCTCTTAAAATACCACAAAACCCACATTTAAAATCCAAGGAAGATCATTCTTGAGGGCATATTTCGGTGTTGGGAAATGTGTGCGGTGATTAGGGACACAGGAATAAGCCCTAGGTGTTCTTGTTCTCAAGTGCATCTTATTAGATGTCAGAGCCTGGCTTTGCCAGTAATGAGAAGGGTATCCCTAGAATACATCCTGATGGAAGGCCTGGTTACAGCACATCAGAGGGAATCAGGGGCAGGGCTACTTGTTACAAGGTTCTTGGCCTTCCTGGGGCTTTGTCATTAATCTAAAGGCCTTAGAGCCTCTTCTTGCAGCAAAAAGCTGAAACTGTACATGCTCTGTGACAGATCTGGAAACTGGAAATTGCCTTCCTAATGGTTTGTTGGAGCATTTTAGCCTCCTTACATCTTCTTTTGAAACATCCCCAGTCTTAAAGAGATGGAGCAGCCAGTCCCCTTTGTCACCTTCAACCTCTTGCCTTTAAGTTTGTTAAATGTTAAACTTGAACAGCTCAGAGCCTCCTTCCCCATCAGTCACCTGTTTACTGCTTCATGGGCTCACATCTCCCCCACCCCCCGCCCGGGAAGTAAATAAAAGCATGCCTTCCTCCATTATAGGAGACACTTAGTGTGTGCAAGCTTTCGGATCTCACATCCAGCTCTCAAGTCCCCGGCTGGCAGTCTCATCCCTACACAGTTAGATTCTTAGGCTCATACCTCACAAGACCTTGAAGGCTTGAGGCATTCCTCAAAAGGCACAAGGAAAGACGTGTGTATGTCCGTGACTCGCCTCTTGGAGCCTCTATCCCATGGACTCTTGACACCTGAGTTGCCCTGCTTGCCTGGAGCCTTGTTGATCCTCAGTTGGCCCCATTCTCAGTTCCTGATTCCTCGGCAGCTGTCTCTGGGAATTATGCTTTGGGGGAGCACACACCTCCTATCCCTGCCCGCACCCTCTGATGGCAATACCCTGCTTACCATTTATTACTACATCATGCTGTGGAGTCTCACCTCCTGCTCTTCATTCTGTCCCCCTATTGATAAACTGGTCCTTCTCCTGACCTTAACACAGGTCCCCATTCTTTCAGAGATACTCCTTGGATTTGCAGATCTCGCAAGCTATTATCCTAATTAAGTGCTAAGCTGCTTAGTCCCGAGACTATAAAAGGAATCACTTTTAGCTCACTTTGTTCTTTGTCTTTCCCGTCTTACCTACCATTCATGCATTGAGTTTGAGTTTTAAAATAACCACTGAAGTTAGATGTTTGTACCATAGCACTCAGCCCAGACCCCTGCCACTCTGGGGCGGAGGGAGCTGCTGCCAATGTAGTGGGTAGCATATTCCTCTCCTTGGATTTGCTCTCTCTCTCTCTGCAGTAAATCATTCATGACTCACTATAACACCATGCTCAGAGTGTGACTGTCTGCCCAAGAATCAAACAGACTACAGCCGCTGACTGAGCCATTCTGTCCTGTCACCCTCCCATGCAGCCACTGTTCCCTGTCCCGGGTTAGCATCCTCTATGCTCAGTGTGTATGCGGTGGGAATACACCAGCTCAGAGCTGTGGATTATGTGGCCAAAAAAAAGTCACTCAGTTTTTGGGCATATCAATTTCTTCTTCTGTCAAAGAGGTAGAATAAGATTTTGTGCCTTGCCATCATTATCCAAATATATACTGTTGTCCATGTGATGATGGGCTGTGAGCTAAGGATTTATCGAGAGGGGAGGAGCCAACTTCAGGCTTACTTTCCAACAGGGAGAAGAGCAAATGACCAACTGGGAAATCAGTAAGGAAATGCTTGTCAATTAGAACTCCCCAATTGTTCAGTGCCCTTTTACATATGATTTCATCATAATCATAGTAGGTTTTAGTTCAGTTGGCTTGGTCATGAGCACACTTTGCAAAGTAGTGCAATTCTCCAAGAAGGTACAAACCCAAGTACTCTGGGGACAGGGTCCTGCTCTTCTGCTCTCCCCTGTATTCTCTCGTCCATTGACTCAGCTCTCTGCTGTCATGACAATATGGCCCCATCACTACATAGAATGGACAGGAGGTGGGTAGGGAGATACAGCATGCCAAGGAACAATGGCAGCTCCCTCTTCCTCTTGCTGCAGGAAACTGGGTAAAAGGGAATCCCAGGATATCAGAGGAGGTCTCTGGGGAGTATGCTGCAGATTTTCCAAGTCTGTCCAGCCTCAGTGCAAGACTCTTAGAAAGAGAAGCTTAACCCGTACCAAGGGAAGGGGATTGGTGTAGGTGCTTGGAGCACAGGTCGAAGCTAATTTAGCTCCAGAACTGTATCAATCCTTGTCCATAGAGAGAACCAGGGTTTCCTAGGTTGAAAAGACATTATCTGAGGTCAGCCAGTGAAGTGATATCTTTGTCAGTCAAACAATGTGTTCCCTTAAATGAGCACGTTAAATAGGAGACACTGCTTCAATGGTACAGTAAGCACTGAAGCTTAACTGATCCACACAGAGCAGCAACACTGTGAGGCACGACTATATTGGAAACCAATACTGTGAAATCTTATCCGACTCTCCCCACTGTAAAACATTGCACCCGCTGTTGTAACAGTAAGTCCACTAAAAGTCGACGTGAGGTTTACCTGGTAATCTTGCAGTATGGGGGAAGAAACCACCGAGGCATGTCCTGTCTCTAAAGGGGAGCACACAGGATCACCCAGCGCCCAGCACGTCTGGAGCAGTGCTCTCCCAGAGAAAAGGTTTCTAAGCATAGGGCTTTATGCACTAATGCTTCTCCAGTCAGAACAGGGCAGTGGATTTGGAAGATCTCGGGTGACTCTGCTCTGCTTAGCAAGGGGATGGTGAGAAGACACAGCAGGTGAGACTAGAGTAAGGCTGGGATGGAAGGAGCTACATCAGCCAGGCAGAGAGTGGGCTTTCCCAGTGTCTTCAAAGGCTTGCCTGACTACTGCTCAATTTGAAGCTTAAGCTTCATAGAGAACTCGCACGCACGAGGTCTGAGATGTGCAGGTGACATTTCCCCCAGACAGTAGAGAAGCCCGGCTTTGTTTCACTCCCGTGTCCCCAGTGGCTCTTCTCACCTCATCCACTGTCCATCTGGCCACTCGGCTGGCTTGGATATCGGCCACACCTGGAAGCAGCTTGCAGTGCTGCTCCCTGCCTAGGGGGAGGTCTCGGAAAGGGCGGGCAGACATGGATGTCATGGAGACCGACTGCTGTAGCACCCGCTGCACCTGTGCAGCTGAGTATTCTGCAAGAGAGAGCAGCATAGAGTGAGCACAGCAGACACTGCAGGGCAGTGGGTGAAAAAGCACAGGTAGTCGGTATTGTTAGAGGAGTCCCCGGGCTAGCCTGTGCCACTTAACTGACTTAGACCAGGAAGTGTGTGAAACTCATCATGTAAGGCCTCCATATGTCTGGTTCTTAAGCAAGTTCAAATAATCTCTGTGAGGATCTGCTTGGCCACAAGTGAAGTGCTAGGTTGTCCCCAGCTTTTCTCTCCTTATACCAAGAGTCAGAGGAACCACAGAGCCATGCAGGATGTGAATACTGGACAGACCGGAGCCTGAACGACACAGGATATATGTGTACACAAAGAACAGTTTCCTCCTAGAAGCCACTTCCCGCATTAATAAAGACAGAATGAGCCCATATTCATGAGTGTCTCCCTAAATTCTCCTATGATACTGAATAAAATACAGGAGTGTTCCCATGAGAAAGTGCGTGACATCAGCTGATACTGTAGAGTCCCAGAAATATGTCATGACCTCAGATGCAGGGACACAAGGTCAGGGCACCCAGGGAGCAGAGCCACAGCTAAGATGCGACATCTCAGCTCAGACATTCTTAAGGGACGCCTTCTTTATTAAGCAAGAAGTCTGAATGGATCCCCATTATATGGTACGAGGGGCGGTGGCTGCAGCTTGTTCAAGACAGGCTGTAATCACCGCAACGAGATCCCATCACATCACGGCCAAACATTCATGAACACTGTCACCCTAGTGGGTTTCTCCTTTCAGAACGTTAGTCAGGCCTGGCAGAACAGGCATGTAACCCCAGCACCAGGGCATGGATGGAGCCAGAAGTATTTGTTTGGGACAGACATGGGGTTTATAGGGAGCTCTTGGTCCACCTTAGGCTATATAGTAAGTCTCTATCTCAAACAACAAAACAAAGTGGATTTACTCTTATGTTCTATCCCACCAGTTAAGATGGAACTCGGGGCAGGGGAGGTCCTTTGTGGTGTGAGGAGATCTAGAAGCTCAGTCAGTGAAGCGACTGACTACCTTGCAAACACGAGGACCTGAGTCTGACATCCACAAGCCACGGGAAAGAATTGGGTGTGGTGGCATGTGCTGTAATGGCAGGGTTGGGGAGGAGGAGACAGATCACTGGGGCTCACTGCTCAGACAACCCAGCACAACGGGTAAGCTCCAGGCAGAGATCACCTCTCAGAGGGGGTAGACAGTGCCTGAAGGTGACACTTGAGGTTGTCCTATTTCCATGGACACACATACACACATACACGTACACACACTGAATGCATCACATCAGCACACACAGGTACATACGCACAGGCTCATGTACCTGCACATACACAAATGGACACACACAGACACATGAACACATACACAGTGAGGAGCCACATCAGCACACACACACACACACACACACACACACACATATACCTGTGTACCTACACATACATGAACACACACGTGTATAATAAAGACAGAGGTCTGCTGAAATAGCCTTGGACCTCCAAATGGATAAAGAGCAAAAACCATCACAAATGCTAACACAAACCTCTGCCCCTATAATGACATCCTTGAAGATACTTTCAGTTCATATTAACTAACTAAAATCTACAGAGACTTAAAAGACTTTAAAAGGCAGATGGCAAAGGGAATGCTTCACACCTTCCGAAAGCCTCTTTTCCTAATGCAAGTGGCAGGTTAAGCAGAAGCAGCCACACTGCAACTGAGAGCTCATTATTGGGCTATCATGTTATATTCTGTTGAGAGTCTAAAAAACTCATTATGCAGATATTTCCACCTCACAATTATAGTTTTCAGTGTAAAAGGCTGACCTGTATTTTGCGTGGTCAGTCACATACCTGCTTGGAACCAGGAAGGCCCTGAATGGTGTGTGAGCTGTCCATCACTGTGCTCTTCTGCACTGCTCTTGTGGACTAGAGCAGAGACTTTCATATTTACTCACGTTTGCTGTCTGCCCAGATAAAAAGACAGCAAAATTGCAGGCTTCTTCCTAATTCTTATGCTCCAGTTGCAAGCGGCGGCAAATTCATCTCTAACTGCTGATTGTCCAAGCTGACCTTTTTAGTATGTAAATAGGTTATCTCCCTTCATGTAGTTCAGCCAACAGTATGTTAGGCTGCAGGTTCCGATGGGAGATTTCACACCTTGTTGGAAAGGCCAGCATGTTGACAAATGTGGTTGTTCTGTAATGAAGTCGTCTGGTGGCATGAGAGCATATTAAAAAAAAAAAAAAAAAAGGGCCCTGAAGCCTTGGCATTACGGGCCAGTGTGTAGTTGCAACATAGATGCCGCAGACCTGCCTGGAAAACCAAGAATTTAAGCTCCAGCTTTCAGATGAAGGCCAGAATCAAAGACCAAACACTGGCTTTTTTTCCCCCTGAAAATTATAGTGGGGTTGCTTTGCTAAATAGAACAGACTTAAAAATAAACAAAGATATATCTCAAACGTATGTGAATCTCATTATTCATCAATTGAGTAAATGAACCAAGAACCATTTCCAATATACAGAAAACTCCGAAAAGACACAGTGGATCTTATATTTAGAAGGTACAGAGATATCAAGTTTTGGCGATAAGCCTTTTGTGTTTCACAAATAAATGCAGAAGGCACTAAAATGGGAAAGAATCTGTGTGTCCCCAAGGAAGAAGATTGTTGAACTTTGGAGGTAGCTGTGCTGAGGCTTACTCTTGGAAGCTCATATAACATGGGCCTGACAACATCTGGATGGTTCTGGGGTTTCTTAGCTCACTGAAGGCCACTGTCAGCTTGGCTCTAGACTCTGGAAAGTGGTGGAGAGTAATTCCAATTAGTTCAGGGGAAAATTATAGCCTTGGGCTAAAAAAGGTGGAGCATGGCAGCTCTACGTGGGACACTTGATGTCGTCCATTGTTTGTGAACAGCGCATCATGCCTTTTCCAAAACAACCTTCTCATCTGAAGACCAGTGAAATGTGTGTCGCTTAGTTATCTGGAAGCTCATGAAAGCTGGGCGAATAGTGTGAGATGCCACCGGAGGTCCTACCATGGATGGTGGGAAAGACCTACAGCGGTCTGAGGAGTGGATGGTCCCTACAGCTCAGAATTTCCTCTGGGCGACGGCTGTGTTTGTTCATTTACAACCCTGAGCCCGAGCGATGTTTGCCAGAACCAGTTACGTGCCAAACACAAATAACATATTTTTTCTGTACTGCTATCAGTTTTGCATCACAATATGAGAATTTTTTTTGTTTGTTTTTTATTAAACCGTCCAGGTTTCTTACTCTGTTTAGAACAGCGCTAGGTACAGAGTGAATGTCTCGTACTTATCAGGCATCACATGATTGTAAGAAGGAATGAGGGCTTTCACAGTTTCATAGTGAATATGGAGACAGCCAACATTTCCAAAGCCGGTTTGCCTAGGTTTTAATTCTCTGAAGGCCAAAATCCTTTCACATTCACAACCTTTGGTTCCTTGTTCAGATCTCACACCTATGTGATCCTGGGAATGACGGTGTGGCAGCCACCAACATGGAAGGAAACATGACAGTAGCTGCTCTCAAGGTAGAATGGGACATTTGTTCCCCAGGCAAACTGGGACAGATATAAGTCAACCACCCTGACACTGCTAAAACACACTTGGCCTAGGTGCTTGGGGAGTATGTGGCTATTGATAAATCTTAAAATCAGGGGATTTATATTGTTTTAAATTCTGTGCATAAAAAACTTTTTTAAAAAAATTCCCTCAAAATTCACACATATTTTCAAGATGTGAACATACTGATTTTAAGTTTTTCTTGAACCCAGTAGAGCTCACCTCACAACGGATACCTCATAACTGTCTCTCAGCACTTTAAAGATCATCAGAATTATTGGAACTATAACAGTCATATAACAGTCATATTGCATATAACTATGCTTCTGTCATCAATGGGCCATAGAGACCACCATGGTCACGCAAGAATACCATGGCGCTAAAAAGTTCCTACTGCCTCCTATTTTTATTACGCCTTTCACATGGCCAGTGAGTAAATACTTCTGTATTCCCATTGCATATAATAGTCTGCACAGTTTACTTGTATAGCCTAGAGTATGTCAGGTTCTACAGTACAGCTTACATGTATAGAGGCTAGCTCATTTAGAAAAGCGTTAAGTACGCTCTGTGGTGGGTGCACAATGAAGAAATTGCATGGACCCGTGCAATTTGCTGAGTTTATCTGTCATTAATCAGCCTGTGAATGCACTGTCCTCCTCAACCCAGGAGCAGCTGATCTTCTAGCAGGAGGCACTGGAGTGTTTTCCATGAACACAGGAGAAAGGTTTCTCTGCTTATTTCATCCAAGGGCTCCGGCACCCCAGCCGTTTCCACCTACCACAGCTGGCTGAGGTCTGGGCGGCTTCCTAGTTACACAGTCTCATGCAGCAGCCACTCCTACCAGCTTCCCGAGAAGCCAGCTTAGGAAATTCAGCCTGTAAGAGCATTCTCCTGTGAGAGGTCTCAGCACTTTAATTAAACAGAATGTCCTCTGTAGCAGAAACTGAAACACATGTGTAATCCTGGCTTTGCCTCTCACACCAGCATGAAAGAGACAAAAAATCAAAACTACCTCTGCGTTTAGGGTACTTTCCCTTTCAGAAAACAGAAGATATAATCCCAGCCACCTCAGTCATTGCCACCTGTGGAAAAAATTAGAAATTCTTTTACATCTTCCTTTTCATTTTAAAGTTGGTATTCACAGTTTAATATATATGTTATATATATCACATGTGTTTAATGATTTTGTGAAGATACTCAGAGATTTGGAACACTCTCCAGGTTCCCAGGCTAATCCATTCAGCAGCACATCTCACCTTAGGATAGAAGCAGGCCCTCCACCAGAGTGCTGAAAGACTTGGCTGAGCTCTCGTCTCTTTAGAACAGCACAGAGAGGAGCATTCTGAAGGATGCTGAGACATTACCTGTCCTACAGAGGCAACAGCTATTGCCCTGGGAGAA